CGCTCAGCCCCTACACGCTCAGCCCCTACACGCTCAGCCCCTACACGCCCAGTCCCTACACCCAGGCTCCCGCAGGCTGCCTTAGTTTCACCCCGCACCATCCCAGCGTGGTTGGTGTTCAGATGCCTATTAAGACAAACCCAAAAGCCTTTAGGCGGAGAGGAGAGCGAGCGGCGGGCGGCAAGCAAAGGAAAAGCAAGCGGGTTCCAGCCCTCGCTGTGCTCCCAGCGCCGGGGCTGGGTGCTCGCAGGAGCCTCACTCTGCCCTCCGGGCACCCTGCGCGTCCCAGGGCCTTCCCACGCGGGACGTGGGTCCTGCAGCACGTCCAGCAAGGGCGTTTCAGTCACTTACGATGCCCTGGAACCGGTGTCAAATAAAAATAAAAGAGGGGGAGAAACCTTTCTCCTTACATTAAATAAGTCACAAGCGCAATTTCCCCCCCGTCGTTGATCAGATTCCTTGACCAAATGAAGAAATATTTTTTTTTCCTAAAAGCGGAGCGGGGCAGGGGGAAAGGACCCGCTTTTGCACCCAAGGGTTTGAGGCATCAAAAAGGTTTGAGGCATCAAAAAGGTTTGAGGCATCAAATCACCCGCGTTCCGGCCTCGCCAGACCCGTCGGGGCGGACCCGCTGCTCCCTCGGGCGTGTAAATTTGCGGGAGGTTTTTCTTATCGCGGGGGGCAGAGACTCGAGGCGGGGGAAAGAGGGTGGAGGGTTTGCCGAGGGGACGAGAAAGGACGGCAAGAAGCGCTTCAAAAGGCTCAGGCGGGTCCCCCAGCCCTGAGCTCGCTCCCCCGGCTCGATCCAAAGCGGTTTCGCGGTGGAATAAACATTCCCTGATCTAAGCCAGCTGCTGGGGATCCGAGGCCGCCCCAATCAGCGCTGAACCGGCCGAAGATGCGACTGAAAAAATCCCTGCTCCTGGCAAAGGGAAGGGTGTGAGAAGGCGGCTCTTCCCGCAGCGCCTTCAGGCTGTGAAAGCAGCAACGCTCTGCCTCTTATTCATCTGATTTGGTTTATAACACTTCTGACACCTGAGCTTATCAGCTAAGACCTGAGATGGAGTTACCCAAGACGAGGGTTTTTTCCGCCCCCTCCACACTAGCAGCGAAATTATTTGAGTCCCTGCAGATCTGTTTGCTTTTTTCAGCCTTAAAAAAAAAGGGGGAGGGGGAAGAGAGAATTAGGACTCGGCAAATTAAGACTTGGGAAATTAGGATTTGGCAAATTAGGATTTGGAAAGTTAGGACTCGGAAAATTAGGACTCAGAAAATTAGAAGTGGGAAAACTCATCCTCAAAGACCCAGAATTTCTAAGCCTGGGAGAAACAAGCACTGAGGAAATAATCAAGTTTACTAAAGAAAATAATAATCATGAGAAACAAAAATAATTCAGACATATGCAGTCCATGCAGACTTGCCTGTAAAATAACCATTTATTTTAATACTTAAAAAAAACACACACAATCCAGTGATAAATGTCAATTACCAATAATCAGCATAAAGTGCCAAACAGCCATACAACATTTTTTTTGTTTGTTTTGTGTCTTTTTTTTTTTTGTTTAGTTTGGTTTTTTTTGGTTGGTTGTTGTTTTTTTTAATAAACAAATCTTACTGGAATGTCTCTTAATTTGAATACACTGTTCAGAAAGCCAGCATTTTAAAAACAAAATATGCTCTCAGGTTGAGATTTGTTCTCTGTCCTCAGGACGCACGAAGACTTGAAAGTACCACGTTGTAAAAACCGTCGGTTGGGCTTTTTTTTTTTTTTTTTTGCCATCTTTCTTTCCTCAGGGTTATTGGAAATGAAGCCCACGAGTCACCAACCTCCTCACGGCGCGCTAGACCACAAAGCAAATAAAAAGGTCTCCGAGTCCCACCAACACTGACTTGTCCCAAACCCGCAGGTCTAAGATCTGGAGGAGTTTTCTAGCACGTGATAGGACTCCTCACTTGAGAGATTTAGGTCATTTCCAGACATTAATTTGCTTCTCCTTTTAAGAAAACAAGAGAACGAGTTGCCTTCCTCCTTGTCCCGATGGTGCTGTGATGAGAAACCAGTTTCAGTTCTTAATCGTCTTCTGGAGTTTTCTGTATTTCCTGAAGTGTAAAAATAAGAAGCTTTATACAGTCAAAAAAAAAAATAAAAATTAAAAAATAAAATAAAAAAGAGGTTGGGGTTTTAAAAAAAAAAAAAAAATAGAAATACTTTTGGAAGCTACGATTTTGGGGGGTTTTGTTGGGATTGGGGGGGCAGGGAGACCTGTGGGGTTTTGGTTTGGTTTGAAAGAGATTCCTGTCCAACACGTGAGCACCACCTTTTGGCATAAAGTTTATCAAAGCCACACAAGTCAGCTCGCACTCTTTGCATCACTCGTGTATATTTGAAATGCAAAAAAAAAAAAAAAGAAAATAAAAATAAAAAATAAATCGTTTCAGCCACGACTTAGGAAGTTAGTTGCTTGGACTGGGGAAAGGGGGGGGATTGTGTGGATTTTGCTCTTTTTTCAAGCACAAACAAAAACAAAACGGCAAGTTCAGTGCTTCCATCCTGAAGGTTTTGTTTCTGCTGTTGTTTTGGTGTAAAGTCTGAAAAAGGGAGGAAAAGTTCATAGAAGCTGGAGGTTCAGCACTTAAGTTTGGCAGGTTTCAGTTCCTTTACTTGCGTGTGCAGTGTCTTGTGGACAGCTAGTGTTCTGGACTGGCAAAATCCTTTCCCGCATTCTTGACACTTGAAAGGCTTTTCTTTAGAATGGATATATCTGGGGAGAGAAAAACAATCGAGATGTCAGAAATCAGCAGCCTGAACTCCACCTGATGGAGGACGCGCCGGGGCTTATTGCACCTACTGCTGAGACCAAGAGGGCTGGAGGGAGGCACTGGGGTGGTCGTTCTGTGTGGGTGTGCAAGAAGGGGGGGTTGGTGGTGGTTTGCAGGGGTGTCTTCTGAGGGATAAAAAGTTTCTAACTTTGCTATCATCAGGCTGCGTGTCTTTCTGACACTTCTGAATGACCACAAAGGCAGAGAGAGGACACAAGAGGATGCAAATGGGGGGTGGGAACATCTGTGGAAGCTCAGAAGGAGGCTGTGCAAGTCATTTGTGTGGAGCAAGTGAGTACAACAGGCCTGTCTTCCAAAGGGAGTTATTTGGGCTCCTCCACCAGGAGTGGGCAGAGGAAAACCTCAAGAGAACACTGCTTAATGTAACGTCTCTGACAAGCACCTTCATGAGTGTACGTGGGTAAGCAGTAGAGCACGGGTACACAAGGAAAAAAAAAAATGACAGAAGAGCAGTTACCTGTGATCCCTCAGGTGATCCTGTCTTCTGAAGGCCTTGTGGCAGATGTCACATGTGTAGGGCCGCTCGTCGGTGTGGGTTCTTTCATGAATCAAAAGGTTGTAGGACTTGGTGAAGTGCCTGCCACAGAATTTACATACGAACTCCTTCTTGGTTTTGGATGGTAACCTTCCCCGTGTGGGTTTCTTCTCTGGAGAGAGTTTAGTCACCTCAAGCAAAGACCCCAGCCCTGGGGGGGACCCCTGACTGTCTGCCTGTCCCAGTTTAGAGTGGTCCTCTTGCGTGGCAGCCACTGCCAAGTTGGCAAAGTCGAAGCGGGGTTTTGCTTTGAGGGTCACGTTGGTGGCCTCTTGCTTGGGCTGGATGACGTGTGGGAAGAGAGGGAAGGTGGGCAGCTGGAACCTGGCGTCCACCAGGCTGGACACGCTGGGCACCTTGGAGAAGGAGGAGCGGGGCAGGTGCATGGCTGGGTACCCCAAAGTCCACTGGTGCAGGTGCACGGCGTGCAGGGCGCTGAAGCCGTAGAGGTTGGAGAGGTGGTCAGAGGGCACGGCGGGCAGCCCGTTGAAGGCTTGCAGGAAGGAGTAGTTGGTGAGCTGGAGGGAAGGGTGGATAGGCACTGGGGCCGGCAGGGTCTTACTTCCCATGGTGGAGGATCTTGGGAACAGGGGAGGAAAAGATCTGGAAAATAAAGACGAAGAAGGGTAGAGGAAAAGGTGGGTTTATGTGAAGATAAAAGCAGAGGTAATTTCTCAGCTGATTCCTTATTAAAACCCATCTCCAAAACCACAGGAGGAGGATGATTCGGACTTGAAGAGGCCTGACCAGCTCTTGGCTGCAATTTTGTCCACACAGGTCTCCAGACTCTCTCTCTCCCTATTGCTTGCACACAAAAGTTGTACCAAATCCACAGCCATTCACCCACCAACAGCATCCCTGCTCCAGATAAGCCTCCAGTGATCTTCACAGAGACAGGAAATTGATGCCAGTTTGGCCCACAAATCTCAGGTTTCTCCTATGTAAAATCCTTTCTGGGTGCCCTCAGCCTTCAGAAAATGGTGGGATACTGCCCACTACATCTGTTGACAAAAGCTGCCTTTAGCCCTGACCCTTACAGTGACACAGGGAGGGCTGCAGAGAGTTCTCTGCCCCTGGGTTGCTCACCTCCCTGCAGTCAGCCAAGCCTCTGCCTCTGAGGTGGGGGAGGCAGTTGGGTGCTCAGAACTGCACATCCTCCCTCATTCATTAAAAAAAAAATAATAATCACTATTATTATTACTATTATTATTATTA